GGTCCTGGCAGGCGCCCATAGCCGCTCTCAGGACCCGCTGCTCCCACCTCAACCAGCTCGCCTTCTCTTTCAGCCAGAACATTCTCATGTATAACACCTTCTGCTTCCCGGTCGTGGGACATGTTTGTCAGGTTCACCCTCCTCCCAAAGCTGCTCTTCGTGCGGAGTTCCAGTGTCTCCAGGGCCTTGTACGAGGGCCTTATAACGCTTTCCCGTGCACGCTGATTCGCCAGCTGAAAATGTTCGGTTTCGAGATGGAGCCTCGGAACCTTGCCCTGCACTGCAAGGCCGCTGCCTATCGGGTCTGTCACCGTAGTGAAGCGTACCGGAGGGTGGGGCATCAGATCACGAGCATTCTTGAGGACGAGGAAGGAGACTATGTGGTAGCATATCAATATCAGAAACTGTATCGCACATCTATCTTCAAATACCTGAATGAGGTGTGGAGTGAACTGACGGCTATTCCTGGGGTTCCTCTTGAGCCTGTCCCCCAGCTTCAAGGCAAAACGTATCGTGCTCTCGAACGTTCCAGCCCGTTGCCGTCGGTTATCGAGGTTCTCAATAGAAGACTGTCGAAGTGGTGCAGGGAATATGGCCCCTCAGTAGCAGAGTTGACCCTTATTCGTTTGAATGTGCTGGCTAAAAAGATTCCTCCCCATTTCATTGCGACCTTGCTGAAGACCTACTTGAACGCCTGGAACACCACAGCTCGGTATCGACTCGGCACGATTCCTTGTAGACTGGGCTGTGACTTGCATGATGGGGACAATCTCATGCACTACTTATGTTGCCCTCACTTTCAACAAGTTGTGACTGGGCTCCTCCCCCTTCTTCCCTCCTCCTGGGCCTCTGGAGATCCAGCTGGTTTCATCATTGGCGTTCCTAGGTATCTGTCGTTCTCTGAGTTGCTGAGCATTGCCATTGCCATAGATATCACTTACAGTACATTTAATCACGTGCGTGTTCATGGTAGATGTAGTCATGCTATGCTCTCCTCCCTCGCCCGTGCGCGCGCCCGCGCAATTGCTGCGGCGTCGCCGACGGTACGGCGAGCGCTCCAAGGGCATCATGGCCCGTGGGGTGGGGAAGAGGAGGAGGAGCAGCAGCTTTGAAGGAGAGGATCGGACTCACCCCACGGAGTGGCGCCTCCTCCTCCTCCTCCCCCTCCCTCTTCCCCTCCTCCTCCTCCTCCTCCTCTTCTTCCTCCTCCTCGTCCTCCTCCCCCTCCGCCGGGGGTCTGGGTAGAGAGGTCTCACGGCGGCGGGATAGGGGCACCCCAACACCCATCTTACACACGGGCACTCTATCCTCTCGCGCGGGCTGCCGGCGGCCCATAGCAAGCGGGAGGCGATCACACCCGCGGCCAGCTCTCATGCGGAGCATACCCCTCCTCCCCCATCTTCTTCCCCTCCCCGCCCCAGTAATTACCCGTCCCATGTGAGAGGGGGAAAATCAGATCAGGGGGAGATAAAGGCGGAAATAGTCAGAGGACCGATGATGAGGACGAGCACGAAATATTGGTGGTATCCCTACGGCCCGTAGTTTGTTACGCAGGACTTGTCCCCATTCTTCGACGCAGCGCTTCATGTATCGTGCGCAAGTCGTAAAACGTCGTACTGACATCCAGCCCCTGGCCTTGCCCAGTCAGCTTTCCCACTGTTGTCTCCAGGCTGGGCGACTTGTTCATTGCAAATCAGAGTTCACGGATGTTCTCTTCTCGTTCTGTGCGCGTCTCTGAAGACGATAGAGGATGGCGGTCGTAGGGTCGGTGGTCGGTAAGTCTGCTGGTCGGAAGTCTGCTGGAAGGTGGGCGTTCGGAGGCTCTGCTGGTCGGTGTGTGGTCGGTAGGTTTGTTGGTGGATGGGTCGGCTGGTAGGTGCTGGTGGGCGGTGGCGCTGCTGGTCGGCAAGTCGGCAAGTCAGCTGGTCGGTGACAGGCGCGGCTTCCGCGGTCGCCGTTGCCTCGCTTGTGGCTGGGTGGTCGGCGGGTCCTGCTGATCGGTGGCAGTGCCTGCCGGCGGGCGGCCAGTGGCGCTGCTGTTCAGTGGGGTTGCTGGCGGGTGCTGTTGGGCGGTGGCGTTGCTGGTCGGTGGGTCTGCGGGTCGTCGCCGCTTGCCGCTGGGCGGTGGCGCTGCTGGCCGGTGGGCCGGCCTGTCGTGCTGCGTCGTGCCCGGCGTCGTTGGTGTCGGGCTGCTGGTTGTCTTCGGGGTGTCGGCGGCCTGCTTGCCTGGGCTGTGCTGGTGTTCGTAGGTGTGGTTGCTGTGGTCGAAGGTGCCCTGCTGGTGAGTGGGTGGTCGGTGGATCTGCCGGTCGGTGGGTGGGCAGTGACGCTGCTGGTTGGTGGGTCTGCTGGCTGTTGTGCCGCTGGGTGGTGGCGCTGCTGGTCGGCGAGTCGGTGGGTCAGCTGCTCGGGGGGTCGGCTTGTAATGGGTCGTGGCTGGTCGTGCCAGTGGTGGCCGGGCGTCGTTGTCGTCGTGGTGTCCCTGGAAGCCGTCGCCGCTGTTGGTCGTTGCGGCGCCGTGTGTGTCGCGGTCGGTCGCTGCTGCGCCTGGCTGTCGTATATATTCAATGCTGCTGCGGTAGAGTCGGTCTGCTGCGCTGAACTGTGCTGGAGTCGGACTGCTGTGCGGTGCCCTTCGTTGCGTCCGTCCTGGTTTGTGGCTCTACCACCTTGCTCTTGCACCTTTCATCACTCCTCCTTTTTCGTCGACTGGCACCCACCCAATATGCGCAAAACGAACATACAGGTTTGAGGCTGTCGTTCTCCCAAAGCGTTCTTGACACGCCGTCGCGCAAAGGAGCAGCGTCATTGAGGACAGGCGGTGCTGAGGGAAGCGACGGCAATGATACATGACAACGGCTTTGCTGGCAGGTGGGTCTGCTGATCGGTGGGTCTGCTTGTCCGCGGGTGAGCAGTGGGTCTGCGGAACGGCGCGTCTGCGTGCCAGTGCCGCTGGGTGTGTGTGCTGCTGGTCGGTGGGTCGGCTGGTCGGCGGATCTGCTTGTCGTTACTGGACGTGGCTAGTCCCTGGCCGTCGCTGGTGGCCGGTTGTCGTTGGTGTCCGTCGTCGGCGGCTCGTGGTCGTCGGCGGTGGTAGTCGCTGGTCGCGGTACTCTGCGTGGCCGTTGTTGGCTGCCTATTGCGGTGCGCGTGCTCGTAAAAGTCGCTGCCGCAGCTGTCGCAGCTGTGGTGGGAGCCGGCGTGGCGTGCTTGCTCGTCGTGAATGCCGCGGCGGTTGTCGTGGCGGTGGTGGTGGCCATCGTGGTGTGCGTGCACCTGGGAGTCGCTGTCGTCACTGTCGTGGATGCCGTGGTGGCCGCTGTGGTGTGCTTGCTCGTCGGGGTCGCTGTCGTGGCTGTCGTGGTGGCCGCCGCCGTGCGCGTGCTCGTAAGAGTCGTTGTCGTGGCAGCGGGAGCTGTCTTGGTATCTCCCTGGGTGCGCTTGCTGTGGCTGCCATCGGCGACGTGGCTGTAGCAGTGGTCGCCGTGGTGTGCTTGCTCTTGTGGAGTCGCTGTCGCGGCTGGCGTGGCTGTCGTGAAGGCCCGCCTTAGCGTGCTTGCTCGTGTGAAGCGCTGTCGGTCGTGGTTGTCGTAGCTTTGGGCCGCCGTGGTGTGCGTGCTCGTGAGAGTCGCTGCCGTCTCGGTCGTGGCTGTACGGCCGTTGTTTGTGGAGCTCGTCGTGGAGCTGCTGGAGCAGGGCGCATTGGTCATTGAAGAGTTGCTGGGGTCGGTCGTAGTGTTCGCTGTACAGCTGCTGCTGTCGGTCACTGCTCGCTGTGTTGCTGTCGTTGTGCTGTTCGCGGTAGGCGTTGCGGTGGTAGTTGTTCGTTTCTGCCGCACTGTGGTTGGGTTGTTGATTGGTGCTCGGCGCGTGTGTTGGTGGACGCGGCGGCTACCAAAGGTCTGGTAGCGAGACGGGTCCAGGAAGTAGGCAAGTTCCGTGCACTCGGTTATCGTTGTGTTGCTTGTGCGGCTGAAGGCCAGGCTTGAGTTGAGTATAATGATATGTTTGGTGGCCAGATGTGAACGCATGATGTGTGTACGGCGGTCACGTTGTCTTCTTTTTGCCAAGCTGCTCCGTTGCTGATTATGGAGCTGCTGGAGTCGGTCGCCGTGCTTGCTGTGGCATTGATGGGGGTGATCGTGGTGCTAGACGTCGTCCAGCTGAGGTCGGTACTGTAAGTGCTCACGTTCAGAGCTACCAACATTGTTGGTAGCTCTGAACGTCGTAGTGCAGAGGTTGGTGCAGAGGTCGGTGCTGAGGTCGGTGTTGGACGTCGTAGTGTTGGAAGCGTTGGTGGTGCTGGTCGTCGTACTGGTGAGGTCGACACTGGACGTAAGGTCGGTGCTGGACGTCGTAGTGTTGGAAGTGTTCGTTGTGATGGTATTGGTAGTGCTGGAAGTGCTGGTGATGCTGGTTGTGCTGGTATTACTGCGGGTGCTGCTCGTGCCATCCGTAGCATTGGTCGTGCCAGTCATCGTATTGGTCGCACACTCCACGCTGGTAGTACTCGTCTCGCTGTCCATGCCATCTATGTTGATAGTTCGGATCTTCCTAATTTATGCCGTCGCGGGGTCGCTCAAGACGATGGCGACTCAAGGTCGGCACACGAACAATTTGCTCCATCGGCTGCTTCTCACGAGTATATAGGAGATGTAGGAGGTAAGTTCAAGGACAGGTGAAAGAGGTCAGGCATATGTGATGGGAGTGACTGGTGAGTACCTGCCACGGGCGCTGCCTTGGCGGAAGGGCGCCGCGCTTCTCCTTCTCACAACTTTTCTCAATGGCTCAAGGGATCAGTAGCTCTTCGATCATCATGCTCCTCCTCGATTCTCCTCCTCGATCCTTATCTTTCTCCTCGTCGTTCTCCTCGATCCTCCTCCTCCTCCTTCTCCTTCTCCTCCTCCTCCTCGATCCTGCTCTTCTTCCTCCTCCTCCTCCTCCTCCTCCTCCTCCTCCTCCTCCTCCTCTTCGACCCTCGGCGAGACGTCCCCCGCGAGGAGGAGATGGACGGCGCGTGGGACCCCTCGGAGTTCGGCATCCTTGGCTCCATCGACAAGGCCACCCTACTCCTCCCGCGGGCACCAAGCGGGGACCTCTTGCCCTGAGGAGGAGGCAGAGGAGGAGGAGGAGGAGGAAGAGGATGTGTTCACACACACATTTATATATGTATATACACACAAGATTGCATTGGCGCTTCGCGCCGTGCACCTTGTTCCTTGTAGTTTCGGATGCAGGCGGCGCGCGTGCGCGTGGACATGGGGCGGGCCGCCGTGAAGTTGGGATGGGTGAGGGGGTCCCAAGCGGGAGCGACCGGACGACACCAGCCGAAGCCAGCTCAGGGCGGTTCGGGGCCCAGGGGCGCGAAGATGTCTCGCACACGGATGCATCCGCTCTGCTCGGAGGTATCGTCGCAGAGGAGGGACGCCAGAGCTTGACACAGACGGCTGCGCACAGCAGGCGCAGGCCGCGCGAGGGGGAGCCCAAGACACCTCCGAGACCATCCGGCAGAGCCCCCAGAGGGCCCCCTCCGAGAGATCCCCACGGCGGACCCTGGAGAGGCCCAAGACAGGCCGAAGAGCTCCCCGAGAGGCCAAACTCCATTGAGAACTTGGGGAACTTCCATTGATAAGCCCGTTTTCCACCACCACCACTACCATAAGTTGGAGGGGGGAAGCAGGAGGAGGGCGAGGAGGAGGAGGACGAAGAGGACGAAGAGGAGGAGGAGGAGGAGGAGGAGGAGGAGGAGGAGGAGGAGGAGGAGGAGGAGGAGGACCCCCCCCTCCAACTTATGGTGGTGGTGGTGGTGGAAAACACGCCCATCATTCCATGGTTCTGGTCTTCTCGCCTTGTCGCTTGGAATCTGCGCTCGAGGCCCAATTGCAGCAGGAGTGGTCAAGAGAGCTCGCGGGCGGGCCCAAAAGAGGCGGAAGGCAGGCCGGAGAGCACCCAGAGAGGCCAAGGTGTGTCACAAGTTGTGGGAAAACGCATGTTTTCGGCATGGTCGCCTTACCGCTGCCGATCTGGACTGCAAGCCTGAAGATGGCGTCGTGATGGTCCCAGAGAGCCAGCACGCGTACCTGAGGGAGGCCCAAGACGGGTCCAAGAGCGCCGGGAGAAGTCAAAATGCGTCTCGCGTTTTCGGCTCTTGAGGCCTGAAGAAAGCCCCACAGAGCCCTAAAACGGTCCGCAGAGAGGCCCAATGCGGGCCCAAGAGGGCCCAGTATGGCTTCCAGACTGCCCAAGAGGCCCCCAAGACGCCCCAAGAGGTCCCCAAAGGGGATCCCAAGAGGCAAAAATCGTCCCATGCCCTTCGGAAAGCGTACATTTTTAGCATGCTCGCCTCTTTGGTCTCCGCAGCGTCCAAAACAGCCCGGGACGCCCCCAAGACCGCCCCAAGACGGCCCCAGAGGGCCCCCAAGACGGCCACAGTGGGCGTCAAGACGGCCCAAACAGAGCCCCAAGACGGCCCGAGAGAGGCCCGCGAAGGTTCCAAAAGGTTCCCAGGAGGGCCACAGGAGGTCCCCGTGGGGACCCAGGAAGGCCCCCAGAGGGACGGCCCAAGCCCGCCAAGCTGGCCCAACAGGGTCCCGGGATGGCCCAAAAGGGCCCCAAGACGGGCCAAACGAGCCCCAAGAGGACCCCCAGGAAGGCTTGGAAATGCAATGCTTACTTTGATGTTCGCAAGGTTGGTTGCTAGATGCTTGTAATGTCGTGCCGAAGCCTCAACACCGACAGGGCTCCAAGAGACACTAAGCCAGCCACCTCGTGCCCTCACAAAAGAAATGCGCTTCCCGTCCCCGTGCCGGCCCAGGTGACGGAAAAAGCAAAGAGCGAGGCACGAGCGAGAGACGTTTCGTAGGGGGCGAAGCCCTTTAAGGGGGGGGGGTCCGGGGGAGGGGGCAGGACCGGGGAGAGTGGTCAAATGGCCCGTTGTCCCTTGTTTTTTTTTCGAGTGAAGCGGCTCCTGGGCGGCTCCCATGGCCTGTTTCCTCGTATTTTTGCCGGGTGCAAGGGCCAGAGGGCCAAGACGGCTCAAGAGGGCCCCGAAACAGCTTCAGACGGCCTCAAGACGGCCCCAAGACAGCTTCAGACGGCCTCCAGACGGCCTAAGAGAGTCTCGAGACGGCCCCAGTGGCCCTCAAGAGGCCCCCCGAGAGGGCCTCAGGAGGCCAAAAATATTGACTTCCCTAGCTGGTTTTTGGGGTTCTCCCTTTTTCAGTCCCAGAAGGGCCCCAGACGGCCCAAGAGGCCCCAAAGATCGTCCCAAGACGGCCCCAGAGGCGCCCCAAAGGGGCCCAAAGCGGTCCAAGAGGACCCCCAGACGGGCCCAAGACGGCCCAAGAGGCCCCAAAGATCGTCCCAAGACGGCCCCAGAGGCCCTCCAAAGGGGCCGAAAACAATCCAAAAGGGCCCCCAGACGGCCCAAGAGGGCCCCAAGACAGCCCGAGAGGGCCCCCAGACGGCCCCAAGAGAGCCCCACAAGGGACCCAAGAGGCTCCCAGGTGGGCCCCAGGGGGACGAGGAGGAGAGGAGGAGGAGGAGGAGGAAGAGGAGGAGGAGGAGGAGGAGGAGGAGGAGGAGGAGGAGGAGGAGGAGGAAGAGAGGAGGAGGAGGAGGAGGAGGAGGAGGAGGAGGAGGAGGAGGAGAGAGGAGGAGGAGGAGGAGGAGGATGAGGAGGCTCCTGAGAAGGAGGAGGAGGAGAAAGGAGGAGGAGGAGGCTCCTGAGGAGGCTCCTGAGGAGGAGGAGGAGGAGGAGGAGGAGGAGGAGGAGGAGGAGGAGGAGGAGAAGGGAGGAGGAGGACGACGACGACGAGGAGGAGGAGGAGGAGGAGGAGGAGGAAGATGAGGAGGATGGGGAGGATGAGGAGGGAAGAGGAGGAGGAGGAGGAGGAGGAGGAGGAGGAGGAGGAGAGGAGGAAGAGGAGGAGGAGGAGGAGGAGGAGGAGGAGGAGGAGGAGGAGGAGGCTCCTGAGGAGGAGGAGGGGCAGGAGGAGGAGGAGGAGGAGGAGGAGGAGGAGGGGAGGAGGAGAGGAGGAGAAGGAACGAGGACGAAACCAAGGGAGGAGGAGGAGGAGGAGGAGGAGGAGGAGGAGGAGGAGGAGGAGGCAGGAGGAGGAGAATGAAGAGGAGGAGGAGGAGGATGAGGAGGACGAGGAGGAGGACGAGGACGAGAGAGGAGGAGGCTCCTGAAGAGGAGGAGGAGGCTCCTGAGGAGGAGGAGGAGGAGGAGGAGGAGGAGGAGGAGGAGGAGGAGGAGGAGGAAGGGGACAAAGAGGGAGGAGGAGGAGTGGGAGGATGAGGCAGAGGAGGAGAATGAGGAGGAGGAGGAGGAGGAGGAGGAGGAGGAGGAGGATACTAATACAAGAGGAGGAGAAGGAGGCGGAGGAGGAGGAGGAGGAGGAGGAGGAGGAGGAGCAAGGCTCCCAAGTGAGAGCGGTGTCGTAGCACGCGCTTGCCAGCAGGGCTCCCAAGAGCGTGCTGTGGTGCAACAAGCTCTTACCACCAAGGCTCCCGAGAGCGAGCGGCAACGTAAGCATCTCTGGGCACGAGGACTCTAAACAGAGATCGGTGACGCAACAAGCTCTTGCCAGCAAGGCTGCCAACCGAGAGCGGTGACGTAACACGCGCTTACCAGCAAGGTTCCCAAGAACGAGCGGTGACGGAACAAGCTCGGGCCGAACACGGTCCAAGAGGGCCCCCAGACGGCCTAAGAGGGCCCCAAGACGGCCCAAGAGTGCCCCCAGACGGCCCCAAGAGAGCCCCAAGAGGCTCCCAAGCGGGTGCGAAGAGGCGGTATGGGGTCCAGGCTGCTTGGGTGTCGGGACTGGGCTGGCCCAATGACGGCCCCATAGTCCCAAAGCGGTCCAAGAGGGCCCCAATAGATTCCCAAGACCGCTTCGGAGGCCTCAAAAGAGTTTTAGGACGGCTCCAGGAGAGCCCAAAAGGAGCCCCGAACCAGCCCCCCGACAGAATTATACCAGGGCCCTTTGGTATGATTCTGTCGGGGCTGGTTTCCGAGGCCCTCTTGGATCTATTCGGAGCTGCACTCCGCCCTTTTTGGAGCCTTCTTGGGCCCCTCGAAGACCGCTGCGGAGGCTTCAAAAGAGTTTTAGGAGGGTCCGTAGCCATTTGGACTCGAGGGCCTCCAGTCCGATCCTCGGCGACCGGTCCGTGGCCGCATGTCGCCAGAAACCGCCCGCCATCGCGGGGTGCCACCCATGGTGGCGGCAGTGCCCGAGCGGCCAGGCCCGGACCTGGACGCGAGCTGGGACGACGAGCTGTTCTTGGGCGCGAGCTGGAACGACGACACCCAGACCTCGAGGACGAGCGCTCGCCGCGAGGCTGCCGGGCCCCTGCCCGCGCGCTCGCCGGGGGAGGGCACGCCGAAGACGCCCCCGCCCACGGGATCGCCCATGCAGTCACCCAGGGACAAGACGGGGGCCAACAAGATCTCGCCCCGCGGCCCCCGAACGCCTCCGCAGCCGCCGGCGACACTGCCCCCGAGCCCCGAGCCGCCCAGCACGAGCCCGAGCGGCGCGGACCTGGAGGGCATACGCCTCGTGGTCCGGGAGGAGGTGCAGGCGAGCCAGAGGCAGGCCGCCCTGCAGCTGGCGGAGCTGCTGCACGCCCTGGAGCGGCGGCTGCGCAGCGACCCCGCGCCAGAGGGCGCAGGGCTGGCGGGGTCCGTCGGCCAGCCCGCGCAGCGGGCCGCCGCGCCTCCGCGGCCGGGGCCTGAGCCGCCGGCGCCCTGGGGACAGCGCCCCAATTTCTCGCCCGCGGCAGAAGAAGGCTGGCAGAAGTTGTGGATGGAGGTACTCTCCGAATGGCCCGGTCGCCTCTCGAAATGCTCTAGCGAGACCCAGGTCATTGCTGGCCTTGTGCGCAAGAGTCTTGTGCAGAGGATCGCGGAGATGCGTGAAGCGTTCGAGGACAAGTACGGTTCTCTGCCGGAGACGATGGGCGCGTTCGCTAGGGCGATTCAGAGTCGTTGGTTCGAGCTCGCGAGCGGGCTCATCATCATCCTGAACACCGTGTACGCAGTTACTGACGCCAACCT